ACACAACAGACAACACAACTCAACTTAACATCATCAACAACAAACACAACATACAACACAGCTCAGCTTAACATCATCAACAGCATACACAACATACAACATGTACAAAATTCAACATTTTCTAAGTTATAAAGTAAAACACTTTCCACACCCAATGCAATAAAATTCACGTCCGGCCTGAACCCAACCCGATGGCTCTAAAGCTTTTACACGCCCGACGTATCATCATTATGCCCGGCGTACTAGAAGGCAGAGACTTCCTGAAGTCTCCCAAGCCCGGTGTACCAAACTCGCGCTCGGCGCAAATAAGGGAGAGACCTAACTAAGGTCTCACGCCCGACGCCACCCCAGGAAGAGACCCCCATGGGGTCTCCACGCCCGGTGCAATATCAGTAACTCAAAATTTGAGTTACCATTTGATATCAAGCCCGACGCGGTTCTCCCCACGCCTGGCGTGATTCATCCAGAGACCTCCATTCCCAACCTCACCCTTATCCTCCAAATACTACAAATTTTTGATACTCAGTTAGGAATTAAGTTCCTGACTTCGTACTTTACTCGATTGGCCGCTTGTAATCGGTATAGCTCGACCTGAACCCTATACCGTGGTCGCTTTGTACATGTGTGCCTCGACCTTGCCCACACACGGGACCAACTAAGTACTAAAGGAGAATAACACAATGTCCACTCCAAGGGACAACTTCTCAAGGAGGGTTTTCAACAAATTGGGCTCTCTGAACACCACAGCTTCTCAATCCTCACAATGGGATGAGCAAATTCGAAAACATCTCCTATAGTCCTAATGATCAACAGCTCATCATCACAACTTACGGCACAACTCAACTTAACATCATCAACAACATACACAACATACAACACAGCTCAGCTTAACATCATCAACAGCATACACAACAGACAACACAACTCAACTTAACATCATCAACAACAAACACAACATACAACACAGCTCAGCTTAACATCATCAACAGCATACACAACATACAACATGTACAAAATTCAACATTTTCTAAGTTATAAAGTAAAACACTTTCCACACCCAATGCAATAAAATTCACGTCCGGCCTGAACCCAACCCGATGGCTCTAAAGCTTTTACACGCCCGACGTATCATCATTATGCCCGGCGTACTAGAAGGCAGAGACTTCCTGAAGTCTCCCAAGCCCGGTGTACCAAACTCGCGCTCGGCGCAAATAAGGGAGAGACCTAACTAAGGTCTCACGCCCGACGCCACCCCAGGAAGAGACCCCCATGGGGTCTCCACGCCCGGTGCAATATCAGTAACTCAAAATTTGAGTTACCATTTGATATCAAGCCCGACGCGGTTCTCCCCACGCCTGGCGTGATTCATCCAGAGACCTCCATTCCCAACCTCACCCGGCGCAATCAACCTAGCGCTCGGCGTGATTGAACAATGGAGTTCCCTGATGAACCCACTCCCGACGTCATGAACTACGCCCAGCGCAAATTTAAATAGCAACCCTCACCACTTCAAAAATTTCAACCAAAAACCTGAAAATCAACTAACCCAAACACATGCAATCCATAAAATGAAGTGCATTTACATCATACATCTCAAAAATAAGCTTTATTTCAACATGCAACCATCAAACACCTCAAAATCACCATTTTCCCCAATTTTCCCGAAACCCCGAAAAATGAACAACTCTTCAATCCAACCGTTTTTCTTCTGAAATCAATCATCACGTGAGTTCCCAAACTCACTTACGACCAATCAAAGCAAAAATATAACTTCCCTTACCTTGAAAAGAAGAATCCGGGCTTCGGGGAAGAGAGAGGGAAGAGGAAGAAGATGTTAGTGCTCTCAACTAGCTCTTTACGCCTCTACTCAGCACCTTCAATCACAAAAAAGTTTGAGAATTCGAGACTAAGGAAAAAGGGAGTGAGAAGAAATGAGAGTGTTGAGGGGAAGGAGGAAGTCAAGGAGCGGGTCTTACAATCAAGAGAGTAATTAGTATCGTTATTTTTAATTAATTCTACCATAAATTAAAGTTTTGTTCCAAACATGCCTTTTATTTTACATGATTGTTATATTTAATGTTAGTTACAAGTGAATACATAGAAAATAAAGTTAACAATAAATGAAAGGTATAAAAGAAATTTAAGTCTGATTAACTTTAAAAACTAATGATTATTTATTATAATTAGGAATAAAGAAAATTTTAATTTGTTGTTTATAATTAGGACTAAAAATAATATTTTTAAACATATAAGTTATATTTTAGATTTATGATAAATTATTTATATTTTAACATATGATTATTTTTAATTATTGATAATTTATTTAAAATATTACAATTTAATTATAAATAAACATGATAAATACAAATTGAAGTAGAAAAAAAGTTAAAAGAATCACTAACAATTCTCTCATTAAAAAAAATACCTAAAAAACACTTACGTTAAAGAGAAGTCTTGTGCAAGATAACATATCATATTTAATATATAGGGGTGAATATGTATGAAGATGAGTATGTATATTTTTTTTTTCAAATGCTAGTACGAAACAAATATTATAATACTCTATTTGGACTTTACTGTTGGCATCCCTAAATACAAGTTATTATCATTTGTGTCGATCAATATTGGTAGTATCATCAAATTTGATATAAAAAACTTATTTTACTAATAACTACAAAAGCCAATTTCATATATTACATTGTTTTTCACAACTAACCGTTTCAACATTGAATATTGTATTGCATTATTTTAGACTTAAATATGTTTTTCCCCTTAAGTATTATCATAGATGTATAGTTTTAGTCTTTTTACTTTTAATTGAATAATTTTAGTCTCAAGTATCAAAGTTGTGTTATTTTGGTCCTTCAATTTTTAATTGAACAATTTTAATCCCTCACATATTACAATTGTGCAATGGTAGTCTCTATCTTTAAAAATTTAATAATTTGTGTTGATACAACACTAGCGGATAACTTGACATTTCAGTAATCTTAGTCAACTTTCTTTTAATACATTTATCTTATATAATATATTTATATATTTTATAAAATTATATTAATATATACTGATTTATATTTATAAAAAATAGTTTATATATTGATATAATAGAAATATTAATGACATTAATTTATCAATAATATTATAATATCAATAATGTATATAATTTTTATTTATTTAATAATATTAAATATATATCATTTGATACAAGAATGAAAATTATTATATATGTAGCTAAATGGACCAACAATCGTATAATTTAACATATTATATATATATATATATATATATATATA